CTTTCAAAACTTACTAATTTTTTGGAGGCAAGATGAGAGATAAATCAAATTAAAACTGTTGAGTTCGATAGAGTAATCAATGCTGTATCCAAGCATATAAAAATAAAAAATCTCGGCCGTTTTACTGAAATACAGTAAACCGAAGAAAAACTGTCAAAAATAACGTAATCAAGCTGTAAATGTATCGAAACGTCGACAGAAATAAAATAAATTGTTATATCTATTAACAAAATGTTAATAAAAAGATTTAAAGCTACTGTTAACTCTATCATATTTATTCTCAAATGTTTATCCATATCAAAACAAAATTATATAGAAAGATAGTTTAAAGTCTTGGCTATCGAAACGTAAATGCTACAAGTATCTATCGCCTTCCATTCTTGGGTTATTCCTATACTTGCACATCGGGCCGTTTTAATAGTAGAATCAACTTGTTGTTGTATTACCATTGGATTCTTTGCGAAAAGTTGCATACCGAACTGGGTTTTATGGAAGTTGAACATACTATAGGAGATATCCACTGATTGGAACACGTCTCTAGAACTCGGTCCAGCCAACCGAGTCCCTGAAATCCTATTTTAACGAAATCCACAAATCGCAGAATGGCCTATGACAGTACATCTGATATACTCTAACACTAGACTAGGGGCCTGCAGAATAGCCCCGTTTCCGTGGAGAAAATCCTTCCTCAAAATCGCCCAAAATGGTCATTCCTGAGGAAAATTGCAAATTTCAAATCGTCTGTATTTTCCCATTAACTGATTTCACAATCTATCTTAGTTTAAACGTACATCTTGATTTATTTGCTTCTGGGGTTGAAGATTGTTTTTTCCATCCAAGAAACTTGGCATGGCAACAAAGAAACCCAACTTTTCCATAATACTCACAGCATCCCGGAAACCTCTATCAATGATAATTACATTTCTCTCTTCTAATATAAGTTTTAATAGAGAACGACCGTTGTGCACACTACAGGATTTGCGTTGAAATGGTTATTCGCTGATTTTTGGATATAGAGATAAATTCTATTAGCTACGACGCAAACCTGATCATCATCAGGATCAGCAGCTTTTTAGCAAGCTCTGTTGTATGATCAGATATAATCTGTTTGCCATTAAAATAGAAAAACCAACGATAAGTGAGCTGCATCAAATCCACAATTACATAAGAAAGCTATTTGAAGTATATAAATCATAAGGATGTTTCTGCTAGTATTGGAGAGTGTTTCAGTTGCCAGCTCATAGCCAATGGGATTTGGCTCCCTATAGGCGATGATCGCCTAGAGTAGAGTAGGAATGGAGAAAAATCTAAGTAACAAAAAGCTTTTGGGTTATCCCCTTAGCTGGCAAGTGTTCTAACTAATGAATTGAGTTCACTCATACGTTGTCTCGTTCAATATGGCCGAAATCAACACTGAATGGCACAAAATCTTTAACTAACGATGCACGAACTTTATGTGCTACTTATCCAACTATCCGTTTATCACGTAACTGAAATATTGTAGATAACACTCGATTGCTTAAACCTAGTCTCATTTTACATAAAAACACTACTAATGCTATACGTATTGAATCAATGAAAATCAATGAACAGCTTCTTAAGGGAATAAAGATGATTTGTTTACATCCTTGGTGCCAAAAGAAGCAAGTACTTCATACATATTTTCATATAGCAGAAGACTACAAGAACCACAACAAAATAGAGACCGTTACGGAATTTCAAAAAATGAAGGTGTTTTTCGGCGTATTTCAGTAAAATGTAAATTATCCAGCCTTAAATTAACTTTAAAATGATTGCTTAATTACGAAATTAAAGCTCACAGTTTGGGCAATAAATTTTCAAAGTTAGATTAAATGGATATAAAATTGCTCACAAAATAAGCGCCAAAACTATTTTTAGAAAATAAAAATAAAATTTCGCATCTAAACCTCAAAACAAATGAGTCCTTTGGTAGAGGACTTGATTCTCTATCCAACGGTATAGTTTTCAAAATTTTTCGAAAAAGTATCTAGGTCAGGAAACTAAATTTAAAATTTAAAGTTTGTCCAGATATGTAATCACCGTGAAAAATTGCGTCTAAAGTTGTATTGTTAAGCTTCGCTCAAGTTAAAATAAAAATTCGAACCTTCTCATCCGAAGGTGGACCGTTAGCTGGCTACGCCGATATCTTATTTCTTACGTTGGAACACGTTAATTCTTCGTAAGTAACGCGGCGGCTACCCACCTTGTTGTAATTCATTCACCAACCACAAGCAGCAAAGCTAAAGAGCACTAACGCTCCTGTTCTATAATATGAACAAAGTCTTTTAACAAGAATAATGTGCTAGCTCACTACAGTTCTTTTATTCAAAGTGTTGTTGTTTTTCAAAAAAGAAAAATAATTAGTCGGTATATACTACTATCGGAATTTTTAAAGAAAGCGCGTGGAAGAAAAGCTTATAACTTTTGAACGGAAAGTCATAGCACCCTGTGGTTTTCAGGGTTCAATAGACGACAGTTGGGAGCACATGCCAACGTGGAAAAGTGATCTTCCTAGGTACTTTTTCAGACCAGATTTAGCCTACGAAATTAAGGACAAATTAGCGAACTTTTTAGAGGGAATTTTTTTCGCAGGATTTGCACCCCGACATGCCCTCTTCACATTGGTATCTAAGCAATTTCTAGATTTCGCTTCCTTGAAAGACTCGAGGCCTTTTAAGGAAGAAACTTCATGGCCGTATTGTTAAGGAGTGGTAATAACACGCACCCAGCACCTTTGTCTCTTATCTCTTTTTCTCTCCTTCTCTTTCTTTTCTTCCTTTCTTCCTATTCTGTTTTAGATAAATTCTTTATTCATAATGCCGAAAGGTTATGAGTTTTCTCAAGAAGTAAAACAATTAATGTTTCATATTATTAATTTTGTTGAAAGCGAGAAAAATGATCCAGTCATTCCTCTCTACAATGTGAACGATCGTCTTGTTAAAATGTTAGATATTTCTAAAAGATCTGTCAAATCCGTCAAATTAAAGCATGAATTACACCAGTTGAGACAGAAAGAAATGAATGAACAACACCAACAGCAAGAAATGAAAGAGAAAAATGAAGTAGATGCAAATGTTAGAGAGCTTCGTAGTCGCACCATCTCATTACCAATGTCCAGACATCGCGAATCTTCAGCATCTACTCCGCCAACAAAAATTCTTTGTCGTCGACACACTGTCTCTGCTGCTTCTTCATCAAGTCACATCGATCTTCCTATTCCACAGGCACTACCTCCTCAGAAGAAAAGTAAATGATTTATTTCATTACTTAAACAGGGCAAAAGTCGACCCTTTTTCTAGTGCATTCTTGACATCGGAAAATCATTTTATCAGAACAAGGAAAAGATTTAATTAGATTTGAATTTCATAAATTAATTCAAGAAAAAGTATATCCAACCTCTGAAAAATTATTAAAAAGATTGATAGAGCGATATGAAGATTTTCCTATTCGTTCCGCAACTACGTTACGCAAAAAAATGAGAAATGTAGGTGAAGTATTTGTTCTGACATAGACAAGAAGGAAGAAAATATACCAAACTTCTTTTTTTCCATTTCTTAGCTTGGCTTCTTTTATCAACGAACATCAAAAATAAAAATTCCGTTAGATTCACAAGCTTTTGTAGTAGCAAGAGCAAAATATTTTCAAGCTCTTGAAGAATTAAGAGAAACAAACGTTCATTTGTATTATCACGATGAAACGTGGTTGAACCTTCGAGAGGTTAAAAGATTAATTTGCACTTTAGAAGGCAAAGGAGAAATCAAAAAAGGGGGAGGAAGAGATAACTCGTGACATCACTCATAAATCATTCTTACATGTCATTACTTTTCTCGTTTATAGGATTCGGTATCTGCACTTATAAGCGTTAAAGGTTATCACATTCCATCAGTTGATATTTGGTCGTGTACTGAAGAGCATAATATGGATTCAACGCATTTTCTTTCGTGGTAAGATTCAACTTGTGCAACGCTAAGAGAGGAGATTGGTGAGTTAAGTCATTCTAAGTCGAATCTTCCATGATTGATATCTCACACTTTTTTCATAGGTGAAAAAGAAAGAATTGCTATTTGTTTGGACAACGCAACCTGGCACAACAAACTTACAGAAGAATCAATCATTCCAAAACGTTCTTCAACAAAAGGAGAAATTCAAAAATGGCTTCAAGATCGAAAAATTAATTTTCTTCAAAAGTTTATTAAAGCTCAATTGTTACAGCTCGTATGCACAAACTCTCCGCCAAAAGAATATATGGTAAGCCACTTTTTTAAGCGCTGTTTTGAGTTTTTCGAACCCTGCTATTCTTCTTTGTTTTGTTTAATAGAGTGATCGTATTGCAAAGAAATATGCTGTAGAAATCATTCGCCTTCCAAAATTACACTGTAGTCTTAATTCCATTGAACTCTCATGGAATAACCTCAAACAGTTTGTGCGTGATCAAAATACAACATTTCGTCAGAATGATGTAAAATAATTAATTGAGCAATTTATGGTGGCGATGGATGATAAACTTGCAAGTTCATATTTTCATCATGTTTATAAAGTCGAAGAGATGTATAAAACAGCAGATGAAATTATGGAACAAGAAATTGAACCACATATACAATCTGAGAGTGAAGAAACAGATTCTGATGACGATGAGGAAAGCGTAGAATAACATTTCTTTTTTAATTTGTACTTTTTTCAAAATTCAGTTTGTTTTCTGAGCAAGTAGCGCAAGCTCTGTTGTTCTAAAAGACTGATTAAAAAAAAGAAAGACGATAAAATCAAGTAGACTGTAAGAAAAACATATTTTTTTTTTGCCAAAGGAACTCGAAAATAAGCATTTTCATGTGCTTGTGCTCATGAGCTCAACGTACAATTACAATTCAATATCAGAACAAACCCTGTCATGTTGATTAGCATAATCGAAAACCTATATTCGGAGTATTTTTTTGCTTTTCAGCGAAACATGTACTACATGAAGTTTCTTCCTTAAAAGGCCTCGGGTCTTTCAAGGAAGCAAAATCTAGAACTTGCTTAGATACCAATGTGAAGAGGTTGCTATGACTTTCCGTAAGTTATAAGCTTTTCTTCTAAGCGCTGCGCTTTCTTTAAAAATTCCGATAGTAGTATTTATGATAAAAATTAGTTTCTTAAAATAAACATTTCTTTTTTTGTTTTAGGTTGATTTAACACGTCAGGACATTAAAATGATTTATTTCACAGAAGTTCAAAGTTGTTATCTTTATTCACTTCTTGATCTGATATGTGCGGTACCAACCTATCAATAATACAACCAGCTATTGTATCTTTTTGCATTTCTTTCAGAATCCGTTTGTTATGGTTCGAAAATGTAAAAAGGCATATCACCGGAAAAAAAATAAAGTTGGTTTAGAGTTGCTTAAAAGGGGTTTTTCGTACTCAGCACACTCGATAACCCAGAAGATTTTCTGTTTTTGGCCCGAGGTACTTCCGAAAGTTTTCAAATTAATATTATTTTTCCATGGAAAACTTTTTGCGACATTTTGTTTCAAAATTTTTCTTTAACTTTCGGAAGTACCCCGGGTCAAAAATAGAAAATCTTCTGGGTTATTGAGTGTGATGAATACGAAAAAGCACTTTTCAGCAACTCTAAACCAACTTTATTTTTTTTGTTTCGGTGATATGTACATAGTTTTTTTCCTGATTCTTCCATTAGATAGTTGCAGAAGGTTTTTCTTGGATACCAGGTGATGAAGATGAATTAAAAAAGCGAAAGTCTACCTTCTTGATCGTCATGTGTGGTGTTGTATTGCTCACTTGCGGTTTTACCATCCTCATCATTTAAATAACCAACAGAAAATAGTCACGAATTACTTGTGATATACCTGGCAAAATATTTACTATCTTGTGGCAGAAATGAGGCATAAACTTGATCATCTAGAGTAACGGGTAGTGCTTGTTTTCCTCCTTTGATTTCTGGAAACAGAAGCAGCATTGTACAAGGAATGAAGAATTTATTCGTCTTGCAGAACTTAGCTAAACGTCTTCTTTTTGCAATAAGTGTTAAATAGCAAGAACGGTGAAAATTCTCCCCAATGAGTGATAATCGGTGGCTCAATGCAGGTGCAATCGGTTCTATTTGAGAACGAAATTTTTGTTTGCGAGCAGCGTCGCTAATAGTTCCGAAGGCTGCTGCATTTCCACGACTTTGACCGCATAAGAAACATTGCCGATTAAACATATACTTGCTCTGTGATCTACCGTGTGGTTTTGGTGTCATCTAAAAAATTCGAAAATCAGTGATGTCATACTTCTGACATCAGCAATCTTTGCTTATTCGTTCGTATGTTGTGCTCTAATTATGTGTTCTTTATTCTGCCTGTTTTAGGAATTTACGAGAAATGTATGCTAAGAAGATGGTTTGGAATGATACAAAACGTTCAACAATTCAACCTCATGTCTAAAATATTCGTAAGTGCGTATATGGTGTAGAATTCTCTAGCTTTCGTTAGAATTCGTTCTGAGAAGAAAAGTGGAATTAGTTAGGTAGAATTCTACCGATTTTTTTAGAATTCTGTAGAATTCTAGTGGAGTTTTTATGATGTTAGATTTCACTGGCAAATGGAAATCTGTGGAAAGTGTCTGAAATATACGAACTCTGACATCCCTCGTAACGAAGGTTGAACTGATTCGTTATTTCTGAAAATCACGTTTCCATTACTTTTACTATTTAGTAATTAAAAATCAGAATTTCCTTTACTTATTAACTTATTTTGCTTGTAGCGTGAAGATGACCAAGAGCAATCGATTTAAAACTGTGCAAAATTATGTTTGATCATTACGTTGAAAATTATGTTTGACATTATGTCATTTTATTTCAATTTTTTTGTTGGCTTTATCTGTTGTTGGAATTATAAATTTTTTTTGTGAGATAAATTGCAATCAACAAAATAATGAGAAAGTCAGCATTATGCTAAGAAGTGCATTTGAAAACACGTCTATTTGAGTCGTTGATCGACTTACCTGTTGTTGCGAATTGTGAACTAATTTTTTGCCTGATTTGCGTTTCTACGAGAGCAATCAAAAAAACTTTCGAGGAGAAACTTGATAGGTTATGGCCTCAGAGATTCCCACAGCCTACATCAAACCTTTGAAATTCTCTCAATATTTGTGAATAAAAAGAAAAACAGTGAATTGAACTAGTTCACAAAAACTTTCGACACACGAGCTATCTAAAATAGGTTCTCTGAAAGAATCCGCAATAATCTATTACTAATAAGTATATTTATAATGTGCTATATAAATCAAGTACCCGCACTATTATTGAGGAAAAGAGCAGTCTACGCGCTTTAATAAACACCAACAGAGGAAAGAAAAATTAGCCTTTGCGTTCATAGCGACTTTCTGTTAATTTCGTCAACATGGTGAATCTTCCATTTTCCAACTAAATTTTCATAGTGCATAAGTGTCTGTACACGCATCCACTTTGCACTGGCACAGTTTTGAACTTGACTTTTATGTTACTGGCGACCAAATGATCTCTCTAGCTGAAGCATATGCAGTGGGAATTTCAAATGTACCCATGCAAAAGAAATATGTCGACAAAGTATGTATCAATTTACAGCAGCGTGGCGCAGTGGAAGCGTGCTGGGCTCATAACTCAGAGGTCGGTAGATCGAAACTACTCGCTGCTACCTTTCTTTTTCGACCTCTCTGACAGATACAGTAGCAACCAACACCGCAAACGAAGAGCCTAGATGTACTCAGTCGTCAAGAAGAGAAAGAAAAGAGCTTTCCGCTGAATGCGCAATTACTTATTCATGTTCGCTTAAGCATCGATACGAATGTCTTTTTTTCTCATTTGTCGCCATTATATGGGTCATTGCATTAGTCTTAATAATCGGCTTATTCGAGCTCGGTGAAAAGCGTCTACTCAGAGAAAGTACCAGAATGTGGCTCGTAGCTTTGTATTCTTGTTCTAAAAAGCAACACGATAAAAGAGCCAGAAACGGATGCACAATTTGTCTCGTTTACATAAAACATGCTGGAAAATAGGACAGTATAATAAAATTGAACTCAAGTGACCGAATGTTGTCGCATTACCGAAGCATAATTACTGACTAAGTATATCTTCTAGACTCTTTTTTCGCGGTGTTGCTAGCCAGTGTAGCTGTGAGACAAAAAAATTTTCTGCCCTTCTCACTGCTTGTTGAATAAGATTTCATGCAATGTCTTTACAGTGCAATAGATGTCGCATGATTCTGAAGATGGTGTTCGAGCGCAAATATTATGCATGGTAAAAAGCATTTTTGTGAATTTATATTTGATGTGATATCTTCGTATGAAGGGAAGAATTCAGATTACATGTTAGATGATTCATTGTATCTTATTAATAACGTGCATCTTGTCGCATGAAATACATTTTTACTCTACTCATTGTGAATTTTTTCCCAATACTGTTTAAATAGCAACGCTCATATACTAGTTCTGAAACCGTGAAACAAGATTAAAAAAGATGAAGAACCTAGGATAAGAAACATCAGAATGATCTGAGGCACTTTTAAAAGCTAAAGGTGTTTGAAAAATTTATCTGTGAATCCAGTGGCGTCCATCCTTTAGTGTGCTTGTAGCAAACTACCTCAAATAAAAACTTTTTGGGAGGTATGTACTCTGACATGGAAGGAAGAAAGAGAACTTAACTTATCGATCTAAGATTTAAGCATTGTGAGTTATTGTAACGGTGAGTTTTACTTCAATCGTCGGCTAATAATTGTTAAAAAATTCAGACGTGGGGCGCGATTTTAATGAAACTAGGGATTGCAAAACGTTAGTGGCTAATTGCCTCAAACTTTGACGGAGGGATGAACGCCACTGTGTCGATCATTATAAGATTATAATGATGCACATTATGAAAGAATTGTTTTACAGTTATGCTACAATTATTAATTGAAAATTAATTAAAAATACATGACGTCCTTTATAAATTTAGGAGTAAGGGGCAGCGGAGTTCACAGAACTCTATATTGATAAAATTTTCAAGATTAGTAGAAATAATTCAAGAATTAGCATTGAGTTATTTTTTAGTTTCTGAAATTTCAGAAATTCAGAATTAGCATCAAGTATTCAGAAATAAAAAATTAAGCTTTTTCTTAATTCAAAGAATTCAGAAACTGAAAGCAACTTTTTCCAAATTGAGAATCTTTTTCCGATTCAACAATTCAGGAATTTTAATTGAAAGAGTTGAAGAAAATTTTTTTTCTTTTTCGAATTGAAGAAACTGAGAAAAGTCACATTTTCAATTTTTGAATTGTTTGTATTCTTTCAATTGAAAAAACTCAAAAGTCTGGTCAGTTGCTGTATTTTTGAATTAAGAAAAATCCTTGATGGTTATTTGTGATTTCTTGAATTGAGGAAAAGCTTGATTTTTATTTCTGAATACTTGATGCTAATTCTGAATTTCTGAAATTTCAGAAACTGGAAAAAAACTCGATGCTAATTCTTGAATTATTTTTGCTAATTGGGGACATACAAAACTGAATGTGAGTTTGCAAAAAAAAAGTATCACTTTTGAGACGTACACTGTAATCTTGAGTTAATTTCTAGTTTATAAAAAATCGTNTCTACAATATAATCTATTTTCTTATGATATTTTCTAGTTTATAGAAAGTCCTTGATGAACTTCCAGCTTTCTAGGAAATGTTGATTTTCTGGTTTATAGAAAATCGACCAGAGTTTCCATAAATTCGATTTTCTATAAAGATGGAGGATCGCTGCTGATTTTCTATAAATAATTTAAATTTATTCGATTTTGATTTTCTATAAACTAGAAAATCCTCGGCGATTTTCTAGAAAGTGGAATTTCGCCCAGAAGTTTCTAGAACAACTACTTATTCATCTTTCTGTTTTATAATTAGTGTAGGTATAATCGCGTCACGTAATGACACGCATATAACACTGAAATCAACTCTGACAGTTTCTACTTCAGATCACAATTCTGCTGTATCAGCAAGAATTTGATTTAGGCAGAGACAGTGGTGGCGCGAAGTTTCGGTAGGAAGGTCCGAAAATCAGAGACCTTTACCAGAAATTGCTCAAAAGAAATTTCTATTTTCTTGAAAACTATTTATGGAAATTCACCGGCGATTTTCTAACAAACTGGAAAATCAAGGAGGACTTTCTAGATTATTGGAAATTCGATTTTCTATAAACTGGAAATCCTCGCAGAATTCCCATATGTACTCTTTGAAAATCGCCGAGTATTTTCCATAAATAATTTCCAACCTTTCAGTGTACAACCTCAATTTAACTTCTGCCTATGGCGTCATTGTATTCAATTTCTTATTATGTACGATAAAATTTACGAAAAATTATCTAAACATATTCGTGTCGGTTATTTTTACATATTACAAAGGTTGAAAACGAACGAAGTGAAATTAATCAATAATGAATTCGTAGACTGAAATTAAGGCTCCGCTAATTCGAAGTTTCTCTAAGATATTAGTTTTGCCTTAAACACACATATTCTGATAGATCTTATCGAGCTGATTTCGAATATCACCTTTTCAGCTCAATTAGGGCGCGTT